ATCAAGTCATGGATAAGTTTTCACATATAAATATATAAGTCTCATGCGCACATCATGCCGAGGTCGACGGCCCGATCCAACAGAAAATAAACTGTGCACTACCAGAGGGTCGAATGGCGCGAACCATAGATGCATCTATTTCTACTGAGGCGATCGGCCCGATCCACAAATATCAATTTATCTCAAGAAAACAAATGAATGCGCATTTATTTCCAAGTAAATTCATACGAGTGTCCAACAAGTGTATACATTCGTTTATTTCTTTTTTCAAGTCTCTAGCATATCCTAAGTGATCACATTAACAAGAAAATATGGAGACAGTTGCAAATATAGCATGATACGGGCCCTAGACTACCCGGACAATTAAAATAATAGTAGCTACGCACGGACTCTCGTCACCTAGTGCGTACGTAGCCCTCGCATTAAATAGCAAATTACTCAATTATTATACCTATGGGGACAATTCCCTCTTACAAGGTTAGAAAAGAGACTCACCTCGCTCCAAAGTGCACTTCCAATTCAAAGAACGAGTCCAAGCCCTCAACTCGGAGCCGAACGATCCCAACTCAAGATGCTTGGTGAAGATTTTCTCTCAAGAGCTCAAAAATTGCCAATGGAGGAGTGAAAAGTGTCAAAAATGGGTTTGGAGCCCGTCTTTAATGAACCTCACTGGTTCAGTGATTTCCGCATCTGCGGTCCCGCATCTGCGAGAAAGGGACTGCATCTGCGGAATGGGGAGAAAGAGCTGGGACCGCTTCTGGCGGTCTCAAGGGCGCACCTGCGGAGCCGCTTTTGCTGCTTGGGGGCCGCTTCTGCGGTTCCTGGCCTCCCTGCTCTGGGCCGCTTCTGCGATTAAAGGACCACTTCTGCGGTCTCGCTCCTGCGGTCCAACAACCGCAGGTGCGGTTATGACAGAAGCGGCAAACTTCAGTCCTTTTTCAAAATTTCCACTTCACTCGAGCCTTGTCCGTTTGAGCTCAGGGCTCCCGGGTCCCGCCCGAACATACCGACAAGTCTAAAATCACGAGGCGGACCTACTCGAACCTTCGGAACACTCGAAACAACGCTAAATCTAGGAATCACCCCCTAAAACCAAATGGATCAAACTTATGAACTTCAAGTTCTTAATTTTCCTCCAACAGGCCAAAACGCCCTTAAACTACTCGGATTGACGCCAAATTTTGCGGGTAGGTCTTAAATAATATTTCGGACTTGTACCGGGCTTCGGAACCAACATACGAGCCCGATACTCATGAAATCAATCATTAGTTAGTTTCTTTAAATCCTTAATATTTCAGATTAACAATTTCTAATAAAAATTCATTTCTCGGGCTAGGGACCTCGGAATTCGATTCCGGGCATACGCCCAGGTCCCATATTTTCCCACAGATCCTTCGAAACCGTCAAAACACGAATTCGGGCCCGTTTGCCCAAAATATTGACCGAAGTCAAACTTAGCCTTTTAAGAAAATCCTAAAGAGTTAAATGTGCATATTTCAATCCAAATTTCTTCTAAATCCCGAACCAACCATCCCCGCAGGTCGTAAATTAGTTAAAGCGAGCACGAAGAGTTTTATTTGGGGAAACGGGGTTCTAAAAAGGCAAACGACCGGTAGGGTCGTTACATCCTCCACCTCTTAAACAAACGTTCGTCCTCGAACGGGCATGGAAAGATACCTGAAGTGCTGAATAGATGAGGGTATCTGCTCCGTATGTCCTCCTCGGACTCCCAGGTCGCCTCCTCGACTGGTTGGCCCCTCCACTGGATCCGCACTGCAGAAATCCTCTTGGACCTCAACTGGCGATCCTGTCTATCAATGATGGAACCTGGCTCCTTTTCATAACCCAAACTCTCATCCAGCTGAATAGTACTGAAGTCTAATACATGGGACAGGTCGGGATGATACTTCCGAAGCATCGATACATGAAAAACCGGATGAACTCCCGATAAGCTGGGGGTTAAGGCAAGTTAATAGGCAACCTCACCTACTCGCCTCAACACCTCACAGGGGCCAATAAACCTTGGGCTCAGCTTGCCCTTCTTCCCGAACCTCATAATACCCTTCATTGGCGAGACCTTCAAGAGAACCTTCTCGCCAACCATGAATGATATATCTCGCGCCTTCTGATCCGCATAACTCTTCTATCTGGACTGAGTTGTGCAAAGCCTCTCCTGAATCAACCTTACCTAATCCAAGGCATCCTGTACCAAATCTGTACCATATAACTTAGCCTCGCCAGGCTCGAACTACCCGATAGGAGAACGACAACGGCGACCATATAAAGCCTCGTATGGAGCCATCTCTATGCTCGACT